CATGCAGCCTGATACCAAGGTTGAATAGGTTGAGCACCTCAGTCCTACAGCTGATGGCTGTAAGGTGGGGAGGTTGGGGAGTTGAGGACTTCACGTAAGCTGTAGGCATCTTCATTGGCTCCTTCATCTCTGCTATAATTTCCTCACATGTGCTCCAAGCAATGACCATGTGACAACTTCTGGCAAAAAATAGCTTTTTGAAATTGCCAGCTGCAGGGTTTCTTTAATTCTTTAACTCTTTGGCTGGTTAATTCTAGCACTGTGGCCAGCTGGCTCCTCTACGGGCGCAACACCCTGCACATGGAAGCGCAGAGGGTTCACACATGGCTCAGTGTGTCAGATGACGTCTCCGCCAAGTCTCAACAAGCATGAACTGAGATGTCATTCCAAAGGTAAATGTTGAAAGACCACTGAGGATGCGTCGCAACCTCAAGCAGAGACAAACTCATGGCTTTTCCGGCAGGCTCAATTTTATGCCAGCTTGACATCCCAGAGCCAATCACTGGGCCATGAGCTCCTCAAACTCCTCAAGTCTCAATATGTCTTAATATCAACTGTGATCAACTAAGCCCTCTGCGACAAATCGCTAAACATCTCCACTTCGCTGCCTGGCACCTTAATCTCCTCCGTGCCGATGATGGTATAGAAGCCCAAGGGGATCCTCGGTAAAAACGGATTTAAAAACATGTGACAATGTCTTTGTCCAGATGCTGTTTCAATGTGCGTTGCTTCGATGTTCAATTTGCTTGGTCCCTGGCAGAACTGTCCCCATCAGAGTCGCAACATTGATCCAAACCAAGGATTGCCAAGAGCCCATGTGACGGGCAGTGGCAGCGAATGGCAGAAGCCTAAACTGCTTGAAGCACTTCATGACTCGGTGCGACTTAGGGCTCATTCCAGTGGCCTATGTAGAGTGACCTGGACACTCTTGGAATCATTGCATTCAGGAAGCAGCAGCGCGGCATAAATCATCCAAGTCGGAAGACAAACGTGATTGTGATAGAACAACATACCTGAGATGAAGGAATGCGAAAGGCGAGAACTGAAGAACAGCAATGACATCACTGAACATGGCTAACCGACTAGTGACTGAGGCAACATAGTGCAATCGTGAAACCCATGCCCTTTCCTGCACTTAGCAGGTAGAGGACCATCATGCCCACCATAAACGATTTCTGAGAGAAACCTGTTAAAGAGATGATCCTCAGAAAAATTCGGCAAATCATGCAACTCGCTCTTGAACAGTGCGACTGCGTCCACAAGTTGCTTGGAAAATATGGTGCCCCTTGCCAGGGGTTTGCCTTCAAAGGTTGTAGCATGGGTCCAATTGAGTGTCTGCTCGAACCACTAGGGTTCTTTGCTCTCCTTTGTGACAATCGTTTGCTTCATTCAAACCAAAGATGAAAGTCGGGCCACTCTCATTGAGCTATTGCAGCAAAGTTTCGCGCGCCGTTGCCATGTAGGTGCTTTTGCAAAAGCACCCCTCACATATGCCTCATCGGAAACTGAGCTTTGGACCCGGCTAGCGAATTTGCTTCACGACTACAACGGCTGACGCTGTTAGCACTGCACATGTTTCTCACACGCTTCCAGAATGATAGTGGACTTGGCAGAAATTGAAAACTGAAAGCCACATCAATGAAACATCCCACTGATGTGCAATCGACAATGGCTTGGGCAGTGACTGTGTATGTGGTGGTGCCAATGCAACTGGGGCAAAACATCCTGGATAGTCACGCTCTTCAAACACAAGGGAATGGATCGATGGATTTCAACTGAATCCGCTGGACCATCACCCTTAGTAGCTAAGTACTGATACTGTACTTCTCTGCGCCACAACATCTTGATCATCAGTGCAAACCTTCCCCCTGCCACACAGCCAGTCCGAACTCTCCACATCACGATGGATATGTGCACATTGGCAGCCAAAAGTAAGACAAGCCTGTTTGTTGGCTGAAATGTCACAGGGCTTGTGGAGTCAGCATTTTTGTGATTGCAAACAAATCGTATCAAAACGTTGAAAATCTTCACGACACCACCCTCGCTAAGTCATGATAATCCAACGGTGCTGCGTTAGGTATGCCATTATGCGTTCATACTTGGTATGCACTCGGGGAGTAATCTCAGTATGCCAAATTGTCCCTCAACGTCGCGCATGAATAGTGCAAATGAGACTGACAACAGTTCCTTGCATCATGTTGAATACAACTCTTCTGTACGAAGCAGTGAGAACTGAAGAAGAACTGAAGAACGAGATGAGAGGCGCAGTTCGGGGAGTCATGTCGTGGAAGCTTAGCAGACCCCAACAGAATGTCACACAAACCAGAGCAACGGCAGTTTACGGGGATGTGGATTGAAAGATATCCGGTGGAAACATACATACAGAACATGTTTGGAAACTATGGACAACAATCTCAGGTATAGATTTGCCCTTAGTTTATGAAATGTCAAGCCCGGATGGAAGAACCTAGGCTGATTGAATTGGAAGTGACTCACAAAAAGATGATACTGCACTCTTCTATCAAGATCACGAAATAAAACCCAGTTCATCCATGGCATTTGCGCTGCGAACCCCTACAGCATCTACATCCATAGATTGCTGGCGGATCATCCACCAAACCATCCAACTTGAGGCCCAAGGGGCGGTTGAACGAAAGCTAAGGTTCACATGAGCCTGGAAACATGATGGGATTTTGAGGGGTTTGGACATGCTGAATAAAGATTGCCTAGAGACCTGGCAGGATGAGCCCGTGACCATCTGCTTCCAACACCACCCCAAAATGCCCCGGGAGCTTAGGGGGGGGAGGGTTCGAGTGAAAAATCAGTGTTGGACTCGGGCCTGCCCCTCCCCTTGCTGAAGCAAGAGTAGCTCCAGCTAGCTACCACTAGCTTTCGTGATTTCAGCTCCAGCTAGGTGACCATCCAGGTGATCCGTCCTGAGCCCTGCCACGAGGAAATTGCCGCACGGATTGGAGAAATGTTTGCCCCCAATGCAAAGACCAAAATAGCAATGTTCCTTTTGCAGACGTCAAGCACGTTCAGAAAAGCATGGACCCAAGAAACAAGGCAAAGCTAGCAACACCCACAGCACAACAGCAAAATATTGATACAAGCAGGAAAGTCGGTCTCTGGTCTTGTGAGACGAAGACAGTGCGAGTCAATCCGCATATCACTGCTGACCACAGGGACAGAGGAACATGTGGACAGAAAGGAGCAAACATTTGGATCCTGGGAGATGCTCTGGGCTCATTGGAATCTCATTGGGCAGAGCAAGGTGAAACTTGGTGAAATCAGGCGAAACATAATGATTTCATGTTTATACCGTCCAGTCTCAAAAGGGGTATCACAAAACATGCGCAGGGGGTGTATTCAGAAATGGTGGCAAGCCGAAGTAGCGACAGGACAAAAGGCATCTTCCTCTCCATAGAATCCACAGCAGTCACAGCTAGAGGCAATGGGAGGAAAAGGGGCAAGACCGCGTAAGATCCTCCTTATAAGAATTGAAAGGAGCGTAAAGGAACCTTAAACTTGCGTTTCAATATGTTCCAACTACAGCCAGTTGCGGAACATCGTGAGGCTCCCACGCAATGATACCCGGATAGAGGCCGAAGTTCGCAAGGGCCTCAGCGAATTACGCAGCACTGTGCGGTGCGAACTCGGAAATGCTTCTAGCCAAGGAATTGCGATGAGGACAGCACCACCGGCATTGCCAGAATTCCTGCACCGACCACATCTGCCACAATGATTCCGGCAGTCAGAAGTACCTGCACAAGATTCACTGAGGCGCCAAGGCGCGGCGCCATGCAGCGCCGTGCAGCGCCATGCAGCATGACACAGCCACAGCATCACCAGGTCACGCCGTTGTGGCCAAACAGCTCCTTCAAATCGCTATCCTCTGACTCAATCCTCGGAACAGTTTGAGTTTGGAACACTTTAATGACTTGAGTAACTTTAGTATTAACCTGTCACCATGCAAAATCAAATATACCAAAATATATCATATAGTACCAGTATCACCTTCCCACTATTCAAAAATAGGGTGCTCTTGAATCTTGCGCTCAACATGATTACCATGAAAAGATATGAAAAGAAGAAGTTCCACATTCGAGTGTGGGCGCACCTTTCATTGCATACACTGACACGCAAAATAAATATGCATATGCCCGTGCACCTAGTGCTTATGCAGCTAGATGTACTGCATTGCATGTATAAATGCCTGTGCCTTTCTCACAGGCAGCCCTAGTGGCTTTCAGGCATCGACTTGACTCGACTGCACTCAAGATATGTACTACTGAAGTGGGTACTGAATATTGATATTATGCACTAATGTAACGAAATGCAATGCACTTGTACTGGTACTGGAATCAAATGTGTATGCGATGAAGGTAGTCACAGTAGCTAGTCAAACTAGGTAGTCATAGGAGGTAGTCACAGGAGGTAGTCGCGGTGGTATTCACAGTAGGTAGTCACACAAAGTGGGTATGCCTGTAATTGTTTGTAATTGCTTGTAATTGTTTGCAATTATATGTGCTTGGGTTACCCTCTGAGTTCTTTTGTTCACATTTGTTGGGCAAACTGTGCACTTTGAAGCTGATCGAACTTCACACAATGCTGACAAGTTCTGGTAAGAAAGCACCCATGATCCTCATTGGCCAAGGGACCAGGTACTTTGATCGTCTGATTCAGTCGCTTCTTCAAAGTCCGACATGGCTCTTCACGGGCGGTCGAGTGGCACAGAAGCGGAATCCCAGGTGAAAATGACCAAAATTGTGTCCCACTCCTCAACTACACTGCACCAGAGAACCTACCAAATTACCAAAAGGAATTCGCACAATATGCATATTGCTTGCACAAAAGCACAGTTCACGGCCCAGCCAGGCAGCCCTAGACCCACCCAGCTGCAGTTCACGAAGCGTTGGTGCCGGCTACGCTACATCACTTGTACCTTGTGAGATTTGCCTCACTTGACTCACTTGCCTCACTCGTACCATCACTCGGCTTCAAAGGCCCAAGTCTCCCACATCTGATTTTGTGGTTCCAGCCTTGCATCCAAGTTACTAAAGAATCAAAAAAATACAAGTAGCAGAATATGCGCTAGTTGGTGCAGTCAGGGGTTGTCAACGGGGCTTTCATGTGAATCTGAATTTCTCACCGAAACTCGCTATACTTTAATGCTGCAAGTACCCTCGCAAGTCACTGAAAGAATACAAAGCTGCTCAAGTGTGGGCAGCCGCTACACATGGTTGTTCCAAGAAGCAGCCACAGCACAGCCCTACAACTACCAAACCATAGAACCATACTGTATGTATATAGGGTACTGAGAACAATCACGGATTGAACACCACTTCCAAGGGTCAGGCTGCTTGCGCTTGAGTCTCTTTGCTGGGTGTTGCCTGGCACAATCCCAACTCTGCGGGAAATCTTAACCTCGCCGGAAGTCCTAGCCTTTTCAGCTGATTTCTCAGCTTTGTCAGCTGCGTCAGCTTTGTCAGCTGTCTCGACGAATTGCTCCAAGTTAACCGCATGACGTTCGACGATGATTTGGCCTGCCCGTACTGCCAGGCACCACAGCAGCGATGGGGACAACATCTGCTGCCAAGAGATGAAACTAGAAAGAGACCAGAGAAACAGACAGTTGTTTGCTTTTCATATTGGTCCTTTCATATGCATCGTACCTCGTCTGACTCGTGTTTTAGTATGCATCGTGCATTCGTGTGCATCTACTCGCATCTTTTGGCACGCTACGCTTTTCCAGTTTGTTTCAGCGTATCTCTACCTGGCATAAGCCACCTGGAATCCATCGAGGGACCAGTGACTTGGCCACCCAAACTAGGCTTGGGAGCATCGCTTGCTGAAGTCACAAGCTTGGCAATGAAAACTGAATGCGATATGCGGATATGCGGCGATGATTTTGGACGTGTCTGTTGCAGACAACCCTACGGGCCAGGTCCAGAACTCACGCAAACCAATGCAGCTCTCAGAATTTGCTGCTCATCAGAACCTGATCGACCAAAAAAAATAATATTATATTTGATCAAAATATTTGCAAGATTTGCAACACTGGACTCAGGCATAAAGAGGGATACAGTCTTAGTCTTGTCACCTTCAGCATGCTTCTGCTAGATCTTCTAAAGCTTCCATTCGCAGCTGCCACATATTAGAGCGACTGAATTTAAACCGCAAACTATTTCCTTGGGCAACACCACAGCAACACCATGCACTCACCCATTTCACCCATCCTGGTGTCTTCAAAATCCAGCCAGGGCGAAGCTCGTTGCAAACCACCTCCTGGTGAAAAGTGGCTGAGAAACAATGGTTCTTTGCAGACACTGCACTGCGACACGCCAATACTTACTGTAACCACTCTACAACTCATCCCCGCCTCTTTGTATTCTTGCGATGGGATCATGCTGACGGCTTCATGGAGCTCTGGATTGAAAGTCTCCCCTACGCTGTTCATCTTCTCAATACCCAAAGACTTCCATGACTGAAGCATTTTATCAAACAGGGCTTCGAACTTTGTGACGACAGCTTTCTGCCCATCTGTTTCAATCTTCAAGTTTTGCTTGGCATATTCATACTCGTCAGCAATTGGTAGCAGCTCTTGCACAAGAGGAATAGCAGCTTTGCCTCTGGCACTTGCTAATTCCGACTTGGTACGCTGTCTGAAGTTGTCAATCTCAAGCTTCAGGCGACTATGGGCGCCCTTCTTCTCCTCAATTACTTCGTTCAGCTCCTTGATTTCCTCGCTGAGCTTAGCGATGTTGGCCTGTGCTGCTTCCGATAGTTCAGACTCCTGGCACTCCAAGCTGTGCAAATCAGAGTTCTAACTCAGAGTTGCACCAAAAAAATGGCCCGAGGCACACAGCAAAACCATCCGCAAAGTGTGTACAGAGGCATGCCCACAAGTCCAGAGCCCCTGCCTCTGCCAATCGCCGTGTTCTCGGCGCAGGCAATCTGCGATCGATGCCGCTGGGCCGGGTGCCGACAGGCCGAAACCTGAAACAATCTCCAAATAAAATCGTTCCACCTCATAGCAACGTCATACCCCATCATATCATATCACCTCACATTGCGTCAAATCACATCGCATCACCTCACATCACATCCCATTCGCATCACGTCACATCACGTCACATCACGTCACATCACGTCACATCACGTCACATCACATCACATCTCACAACTGTGGACAACATTGGCTTTACACAATGTGCATCAGGGAAGCTCTTCAGTGCCAAGAGGCTGCCCCAAAAACCCGGTCTGAAATGTCAGCAGCAAAGCCGCCAGCCCACCACACAAGACTGGCCGACGCCCCATGGGTGCAGCCGGGTGCAGCTGAAAGAAGGGAAGCAAAATAGCGCAGGACTTGATCCAATATGGCAAAGGAATGCAAAGGAAACAAAAAGTGAGCAATGCCTTTCTGGAACAGTTGGACCAGTGATGCTGACAGTACCCATCCCTCAGGGGATTACGATTTCCAGGGGTCGCTCAGGGCCCAGCCTTGGTTATGTTTGTAGCCACCCCACCTTGAAGCACTAAAACCGGCAGAGCATTGACCAGTTGTCCCAAGAAACAACAACAAGCTGGGGATTCTAGGGGTTTTAATCGGGTGCGGATTTTTTGGGATTTTTTTTTTTCTTGTTTTGGGATTTTTATTTTTTTTTGGTCGTGGGCACGGTTTCCTCACTTTTTCCTTGTTTTCCATGATTTTTCCTTAGTTTTTCATTGGTTTTCCTTCATTTTTCCTCACGTTTTCCTCGTTTTCCAGTATTTTTTTTTGGTTTTTCATAATTGTCCTCACTTTTTCATCGTTTTCCATTACTTTTTCCTTTGTTTTTCATCATTTTCCTCACGTTTTCATCGTTTTCCATTACTTTTTCCTTGTTTTCCATGACTTTTCCTTCGTTTTTCATTGGTTTTCCTTCATTTTTCCTCACTTAGTTTTTCATAATTTTCCTCACTTTTTCATCGTTTTCCATTACTTTTCCGTTGTTTTTCATCATTTTCCTCACGTTTTCATCGTTTTCCATTATTTTTTCCTTGTTTTCCATGACTTTCCTTCGTTTTTAATTGGTTTTCCTTCATTTTTCCTCACTTTTTCATCGTTTTCCATTACTTTTCCTTAGTTTTTCAAAATTTTCCTCACTTTTTCATCGTTTTCCATTACTTTTCCTTAGTTTTTCATCATTTTCCTCACTTTTTCCTCGTTTTCCATTATTTTTTCTTAGTTGTTCATTGGTTTTCCTTCACTCCCCTCACTTTTCCTCGTTTTCCATTACTTTTTCTTTGGTTTTTCATCATTTTCCTAACATTTTCTTTCCTTCCTCAATAAGAAAACAGGAAGGGGGTATGGGGGAGAGGGCTGAGGAGGAGCAGTAGCGTCCGCTCAGAATCAGCTAAAGCGTCTTCCCAGGCAACCTTATATACAGATATATAGATATATAGTGGTATATAGATATATAGATATAAATATATATATATAGAGATATATAGAGAGAGATATATATATATAGATATAGATATAGAGATATATAGATATATAGATATATAGATATAATATAGATATATAGATATATAGATATATAGATATAGATATATGATATATAGATATATAGATATATGATATATATATATAGATATAGATATATAGATATATGTATATATATATAGATATAGATATAGATATAGATATATAGAAATATAAAGAAATATATAGAAATATATAGAATATATAGATATATATATATATAGGGATATAGATATATAGATAATTATATACATATATAGATATATAGATACAGCCATAGATGTAGATATAGATACAGATATAGATAGATATAAATAGATATAGATAGATATAGATAGATATAGATAGATATAGATAGATGTAGGTATACATGCATGACTAATCATGACTATATGCATATGTAGATCAATGTATTTACAAGTGTAATCAATATATCTGCCGGGTTTGGTTTTAGGGTTGGTTTTAAGGTTTCTTTAGGGCTGGTTTAGAGTCTGTTTAGGGTTTGTTTAGGGTTGGATTAGGGGTTATTTAGGGATACAATATGTACATACAAATAACTATACTTATGTGGACGCATATGCATGCACATGATTATTTACAGTTTATTTTGGGATACAACATGCACATACAAATAACTATTTTTTGTGGACGCATATGCATGCACATGATTATTTACAATGTATTGGGATGAAAGCTGTGTATATAAACAACCATATGTATATATATATATATACAATATAAATATATATATATAGTCTAACCAAACTAGTGTATTGAAATGTGTGCAAGTTTGAATTTAAATAAAAAAAAGCGGGAGGGGGGGGATTGGGGGAGAGGGCGCAGCGCCTCCCCCCCAAAGCAGATTGGAAACACCTATTTTCACATGCAAGGTGCTGGGTTGAATGTGATACTCAAGTTAAGGTGTATATACTACACGACATGCACCTTGGAAACATGTGGAATGTAGATTAAGGCACAACGATGCACAATAGTTTCATTTGATGTTATCATCGAGTTGGTTTAAGATCTCTTTATATAAGCTTTGGTTCAGGGTTGGCTTGGGGTTTGAATATCATCCGGATGATAATGCAAACCTTTTAGATAGATAGATAGATAGATAGATAGATATATAGATTTAAAGAAATATAGATTTAAAGATATATAGATAAAAAGATATAGGAATAGAGATATATAGATATATAGATATATAGATATATACAGATATATTGATATATAGTGGTATGTCGATATATAGATATAACTATAGATATAAATATATATATATATATAGAAATATATGGAGATATATAGAGATATATAGAGATATATATACATATAGAGATATAGATATATATATAGAGATATAGATATATAGATAAATTTATACATATATAGATATATAGATATATAGATACAGCCATAGATGCAGATATAGATACAGATATATATAGATATAGATAGATATAAATAGATATAGATAGATATAGATACGTAGATAAAGATAGATATAGATAGATATAGATGGATATGTATAGATATAGATAGATATAGATAGATACAGATAGATATAGATAGATATAGATAGAAATAGATAGATACAGATAGATATAGATATAGATAGACATAGACAGATATAGATAGAACCAAGTAGATAGATAGTTCGATAGTTCGATAGATAGATAGATAGATAGATAGGCAGATAGATAGGTAGATAGATAGATAGACAGATAGATAGACAGATAGATAGACAGATAGATAGATAGATAGATGGATTGATAGATAGATAGATAGATAGATGATACTCAAGGTGTATCTAATGCACAACATGCACCTGGTGAACATGCTTCACTGATAGATTGATCGATAGATGATAAATGAGCCATAGGAGCGAGGAGCTCTAGGAGCCAGGAGCCATAGAAGCCACCAGGAGCCACCAGGAGCCGAAAAAGGCCACCAGGAGCCACAAGGAGCCCCAGAAGCCACCAGGAGCCACCAGGAGCCACCAGGAGCCACCAGGAGCCACCAGGAGCCACCAGGAGCCACCAGGAGCCACAGAAGCCACCAGGAGAGGGGAAAACAAAAAAAAAAAAAAATTAAATTACCCTCCGTTTTAATCTTCGATTTGAGATCGGGCCTCGAAGAACCAGTGGGGCCATAGATGTCAGGCCTTGGCAAAAGCCACAACTTTGGAACTATCTATGTATATGTGTCTATATATTCTATATATATATGTGTGTGTGTGTTATATATATATATAATCCTCTGGGGAATTCACCTAAAGGGTTGAGGTGTCTGATTCTATAGGTACAAAATCAGGACCCCCAAGAAAAAGATGTTCTTTTCTATATAAAATCAAGACCCCCAAGAAGAATTCAACTGTACACAATCGAGGCCTCCAAGGTTCAGTTTGTATGAAATTTTAAGTAAAAAAATGGTCTACATTCTACACTGGGTAGGCTGGGTTGGCTACATAATCAAGACCCCCAAGCCTCACAGTGCAAAAATCGGAACAAGGGCTTGATTTTAGGGTGCATTTTAGCATGTTACAATGATTGAACCCCAAGCCTTGGCTCGAGTCTAGCATAAAATGGAAATCAATATAAAATAAGAACCCCCAACACCATATGCACCAAGCTAGCCTTAATATAAAACGTAGACCTCCAAGCTCGAGTTTGACACCCTGAGACCTCTATAGAATCACAGCCCTCCCCAGTGGAGCCCAACCACAGAGGGAAACCACTGTATAAAATGAACCTGTTTTTGGAGCTCAACCCCCTTGATTTTATACAGCTATTTCCCAGGGGGATTATATATATATATGTGTGTGTGTGTGGGTTAAACTCACTGCTGTAAGCTCCAACCACACCAGTCACATCAATTAGACTCCGCGCGGTAGCAAGAAGGCAACCTAGTCACAAACCACGCGCACCAACACGGCAAGACAGAAATGGGTTTCATGGCAGTGTTCATGACAGCTGTGCCTCAGAGTTTGGCCACAATTCCTGCACTGAAGAATAACCTTCGCGATTTGCTGGAAGGTAGCAGCTAGCACACAATGATAAGCTGACTTTGCAACCATGACTAGCAGAGTTTGCCAAAATGACTTCGGGGACAGAAAAAAACAAGAGAAACCAACGAACCCGAATGCAGTCACGTAAAACACTTTTGTGAAACAAACTATTTCAACAGCCTTGTATTTTTTCCCCTGTTCCCGTAGCACTGTAAACTGCGGAGTGTGGAACGGGGTGGAATGCAAAATGTGGAGTGTGAAGACAGTGAAGACAGTGGAGTGTTGAGTGGGGGCACGGCCATAGCAACCTCATCGCGGGCGGTTACGGACGGTTGCGGACGGTTGCGAACATAAAAGCAGCGTCGAACGAGCACCTCTCCACCCCCAGACCCCCAAAGTAGAACGATAACTTCACTTCGCTCCGCATTCGGAAAAAATGGCAAACCTCACCATTGCAGAAATTACTGCATTTCCTTGGGTTTGAACCGTCCCAATTGAGAAGTCGAACACGAAAGTCCTACGGACACGTGTTTGCGACTTTTCTGTTCTGATCTGATCTTTCATATTCTTTCACTGATGGCGATTTTTCAACAGCTCATGGAGGGTGAAGCATTGGCCTGCGAGATGCTGCCACACCTGCAATGTCTGGATCCGCACGTGCACTTCACATCATACTGAGCACTGAGCACATTAGTTGCAAAACTAAGGAGTTCTGCCAAGATTCCGGCTGTATCCATTGTCGAAGTTTGGAACCACGGACTGGCCCCTGTTCCTTCATCAACAGTCTTGTCACGTGAAAATAATAAAACAATTTCCATTGAGCAAACCTGATTCCAGCACTGGCCTGGCCATGATCATCAAGAAAATACCAGGCCAAGTCAACATGCATCATTTCATCTCCGACAAGCCTCATCGACAGTTGATTGAAGTTGCCCTTGGCAGCAAGTCTAAACATTGACATGCCAACACATAATTTTTTGCCACCGGAATTCGCCTTTGGACGCGAGCAACACCACATGGCACCGAAGACCCTCAATCCCACCCCACTTTGGCTAGAGGCATTTTTGCGCACTGCAATCTCCAAATTGAGATGAACCGAAATTTAAGCGGCATAAATGTGTTTGCAACAATGCTTTGGTGGTCGATCCGTTGGGTTTCCACCAAGAATTCATGCCAAATCGTGCTCAAAACATGTTCTACTGATTTGGAGGCGACGCGGTCGCATGTGCCTTTAAAAAATCACGCAGTGCAACTCTTGCGTACACACACAGGAATTTAACATTCCGACATGAGCATTCTGGGAAGAAAATATGGTCAGCATTAAGTAAAGCACCGCATACACAGAAACCGAAATCATCTGAAATGACAACATGCAACATGCATCATGTGTTTGTATGTTTTCGTTTCCCGACCTCGGCACTTGCGACACCAAACCATGACTAAACCAATTAAAGGGAAAACACAAAAACCATTGAATCTTGAACAAGTCTACGGCGCTACGGTAGTCGGTCGGTTGGATCCGTGTGCACACGGCAATTGAAAAAGAAACATCTTGGCGCTGGAGAAAAAAAACTGAAGGCCGACAAACACATTTTTCCGCCGAATTGGGCACAAAAATGTGCAAATCCGAGGCGTGCGCAATGGCCACCACAACAACCAAGGCGCCCAAACAAACACAACCAACATCCCGACCCAATAGAGAGGGACAAAGCATTGCACCTGACATAGAATAAATTTGATAAAACAAATTTGAAAGAGAAAACCATGTCTGAGATTGTAGCGGCAATGTTTCGAAAGAATTCCTTTATCTCCCCATTTGTGCCCCTGTTTGTTTTGTTTACTCGTCTCCCTGTTGTTGGCTAACACTGGGCAACTTGAGACAAAAGACTTCCCTATTCATTTTTGCGTCCCATACAACTCCCTACCTGTCTCTGGTGGCCTGGACGAACAATGACCCTGTTCAAATTTGTTCCTCACTTGTTTTCGTCTTTGCCCCCCCCCTCATTGCCTCTCTGTTGTTCATTGCCTCTGCGCGACCTGCAGCGCATGATTTCCATACTCATCAATTCGGCCGCACTTGTTTTACACTGTACACTTTCCCTCCTATATTCCCTAGTGTTGTTTGACTTTGGGTCCCCTGTGGCCAAAGATTTCCTTTGCCAGCGATTTCCGTCCCATGTCCCATTTCCACTACCACCTGTTCTTCCGGGGGCTTCATTTTGTCAGTGAAATATATGGTTTGCAATAATAATAACAACAATAATAATAACAATATTAATAATAACTATAGCAACAATAATAACAATAATAATCATAGTCATTTTTTGGTAGATTTTAAATTAATGCGAAAAAACCTTCCAAACTTTCAATAAAATCACATTGCGAGGTTACCGCTCGGGAAAATTCTATTGTGTTTGTAATATGTGTAGGTTGCAAGCAGTACCCGGGCAAGCAAGCCGGCGGCGGAATTTTCAAACATAAAAAGGCTTGTAGCCTAACAAAGGATGTGCCTATAAGGTGCGGGCAAACCTTCTGTGTTTCGCAGCAACAATCTTTCGACTCTTGACATTTCACTCCCCTGCCACCTCTTCCCACGTTCCATCTCGTCTCATTTCATCTGAACTCACCTCCTCTGACCTCAGCTCTTCTCATCGCAACTTTCCCAATCTTATCCCATCGCATCGCATTTCATCTCATCTCATCTCGTGTCGTTTCTTCTCAAGTGTTTTTACCTCATCTCAACTCACCTCACCTCGCCTCATCTCATCTCATTTCATCTCATCTCGTGTCGTGTCTTCTCAAGTGTTTTCACCTCATCTCACCTCACCTCACCTCACCTCATCTCATCTCATCTCATCTCCTGCCGTGTCTTCTCAAGTGTTTTCACCTCATCTCATCTCATCTCAGCTCATCTCAGCTCATCTCAGCTCATCTCATCTCAGCTCATCTCAGCTCACCTCAGCTCACCTCAGCTCACCTCAGCTCACCTCAGCTCACCTCAGCTCACCTCAGCTCACCTCAGCTTACCTCAGCTCACCTCAGCTCACCTCAGCTCAGCTCAGCTCACCTCAGCTCACCTCAGCTCACCTCAGCTCACCTCACCTCACCTCACCTCACCTCACCTCATCTCATCTCATCTCATCTCATCTCATCTCATCTCATCTCATCTCATCTCATCTCATCTCATCTCATCTCGCGCGGTGTCTTCTCAAGTTTTTTCACCTCATCTCACCTCACCTCACCTCATCTCATCTCGTCTCGTCTCGTCTCATCTCATGCCGTGTCAGCTCTCCTCAGCTGATCACAACTGTTCTCATCTCTTCTCATGTCACCTTTTCTTTGGTTTCTATTATCTCCTCTGAATTCATCTGAACTTTTTTTTGGATCTTTTCAGTTTTTCCATTGTACCCAGTTCGTCTCAATTCAGTTCTTCTCAGCTCTTCACCGCTCTTCTCATGTCACGTCGTCTCAACTCATACCATGTTTTTCACCTCGGCTTATCCCAGCTCTTGAGCCTCGCCTTTTCGCAACTCATGTCATGTCTGCTCAGCCCTTCCCTCCTCTCAATTTATTTTTTTTCTCCAAGTTTTTTCACATCTTCTGAGTTCATCTCAATTTTTCTCTCGAGGACGAAGCGCCAAAACCGAAAAAAACATCAAACTAATCGTCGCAATTTTCTGGCGCAACCATTCCAATGCGATTTGCAAGCAGCGAATCGCAAAAGACTATACAAGTATTATGTGCGCAACAGCCACGCAGAGCAACGTTGATGCAACCACTCCAACTCCAATATGAGTTGAAAAAACAAAAACACCAATGGACTAGGTGCGTAATAGCAACGCACAGCAACTGTGACGCAGCCACGCCGCTGCAATTTGCAAGTGCCACGCTGCAAAACCTAATCAATTTGCGTTGGCAAGAATAGAACTACTTGCTAAAATTATTCCAAGACCGGATCTCGGCATCAAAGACCGAAAAAAAACGATGTTGATTTGTGCTTGACACGAAATTTAAGGGAAAATGAATGAATGCCCCATAAGTAGCAAATCAGCGAAAACTCATTGCTGCGCCCTTGGCGCTATTTCGTGCGACATGTCCCTTGAAAAGTGACAACTTCACGTTCGCAAAACGGCGCCTGAAGCCGCAGTTACGGCGCGGCCATCTCGCACACGCTCAGCGGTAGACTTGCGCCGCAAAACATGCAACCTCGCGCATCCACTATCTCAAAAAATTCCCTTGCGCAAAAGTTAAATTCATTTGCAGACAGACTACCGCCCTACAAGCACATCAGAACGTGCACGCCTCGCTCTTCCAGAAATTCATGCCAATCAGGTTTTCAAGCCGTGGTGGACATGCGGTCACACAACCTAGTTTGAATCAGGATAGTCCACGACGCCGTTTCGCAACCAGAATTGAGGTGCAATGCTAAATGTTTTCAAAGAGCCAAGCCGAACTGGCCAGATATTTTGGAAGAAAAAAATTCACGGCGTAAATCCGACAGTATTTTTTCCTGCCAAAAAATGATGATGATGATGTTGATGATGTTGATGTTCATGTTGATGTTCATGTTGATGTTCATGTTGCTGTTGATGCTGATGTTGATGTTGATGTTGATGCTGATGTTGATGCTGGTGTTGATGTTGATGTCGATGTTGATGTTGGTGTTGGTGTTGGTGTTGATGCTGATGTTGATGTTGATGTTGATGTTGATGATGATGATGATGCTGATGATGTTACAACGTTTCTTGGGTGCAGATTTGTTGGACGCAACGCATGGAAAAAAGGAATGGCAATTTATATTAATATTGTATGCGCTGTAGCAAGTATAAGTTCAAACAACCTTCAAAAAATACAATGGTTTCATTTTTTAATGATATCCCACCCCGATACGGTATTAAAAACAAAACAAAAACAATTCCATCCCGTCGAAAAAATATGCCTACTGCGCCTACTATGACGGCGATTTTCCTTCCAGGCCATGGCCGTGCGCACAAATGTTTCGGCAACAAGCCACAGGTTCCATCCATTGAACCTGAACCCGTCATTTTGGCAGTGGAAAATGTGTGTTTGCCGGAGCTGACTACACAATAGGCTGGGGGCATGGAAACCTAACAATTGGCACATTCCAGTTGTTTTGCCTTGGTATGTTCCCCCGGGGTATTGATGATTGCATTTATATTTTTTGGCGGCATGTCAATATATGTTCGTACTCATTCCACGTATGCGTAATCATTACTCTTAGCTCTCTTGTGTGTTTACAACCTGAATTTGTTGTAATGTGCTAAAATCCACTTGTGCTTACGTGGTGGTTTGGGTTGGTGGTTTGGAAATCTGGAAATTAATGGATTTGTGAACTTAGAAAAAACAAAAAATATAAAACCCTGTAAGCAATGAAATCGTTGAAAATAAAGAAAACAAATTTAAAACAACAATGATCGCTACCAGATTAGATTTGTTTTTGAATTGATATTCATTTTGTATCTCGGAAAATATACACTTATTTAATTTCCAATAATTTCACGTGATTGTTTTAATTATTGAATTCTAGTGCATTTTTCTGTACTTGTCTATTTATTTTTGAAATAGGGGAAACACAGTTTCTTGAAACCGTGTAGTCTTATCCTGTACTCTGACTGATGCAATTTCATGGAGTTTCCATGGGGTTTCCATGCAGGTTTCATGTTGATTACATGCTGGGTTTGCTGATTTAGCTTACCGGTGTGTAACCTCCATGACAACTCCCTGGAACCTGAATCTGCATGGAACCTCCATGGAACCTGCATCAGTCAGAGTGCATGATAAAGCCAACAAATGTAGATAGAGGCAACAGCTTCAAAACGCACATGGAACCTGAATGAAACCTACATCAATCCTCCATGGAACCTGCATGGA